AACCCTGAAACCACCTCTGAGCTGATCTAATTCACGGCTAACTTACAGATCAAACCTTGAAACAACCTGTGGGCTGACCAAAGCCACTCACATATTGAATTATTGTAATTAATCTTACCTCCACACACTAAACCTTTGTGTTCCTGACATGAGAAATCATTACACTGACATTTGTCTCCATAAATACGTCCACGAGGATCCTAAAGCACATGAAAAGAAAGATGATTAATAAGCTGTTAGTAGCAAAGATGTCTGGGTTGACTGCTACAATGAAAAGCGATGGCTTCAAAGCTGTGATGATGGCTATGATGATGACGATTGGGATGATGGTAATGATGATGGTAATGATGATGGTAATAATGATGGTAATGATAATGATAATGATAGTGATGATGATGGTGATGATGCGTTTTATATAGTGATGATGGTAGTGATGATGGTAGAGATACAGTTCAGTGATGGTGGGCGTGAAGATAGCGATGATGTTGGTATATAGTGATGGTGGTAGTGATGATGATGATGATAATGGTAATGGTGTTGCTAATGATAATGACAATGATAATTACYCATGTTGATACATAATGGTGATGATAATAATAACACATCCAAAAAACTCTATACATAAGTAATCCGAAGGAATCGAACCAGCTAGCCGACAGTGACAGTAGTGAAAGGCAAACATTTTATCCGTACGCCATCTTGCCAGCCTTGTATTGATAGAGTGATTTTATTTAACCCGTGATAGAAAAATTAGTCTACTACTAACTATTATGCGTACTATTAACGGGTTAAATACAATCACTTTAAATCTAACTCACCCTGTTACAGATACACTTGCCRCAGATACACTGACCACTCCCACTACACGGAGCCTCGTCAGTAGCATTGTTCCTACGAGATAAATATCGTGAAGGTTAGGTTTTATCATTCATTGGTTTTAGAGTAATAAATAAATACAAGTTGTTTTAGACTGAATGGAACCATTCAACTTCATCGTAATATTTTCCTTTTCAGATCACGTCATTTTCTTGAGAATAAGATGCTTTATTTGAGTTGTATCCAAAATCATGTGTCTTCTCATATAAAACCGTTAAACAAAGATATGATACTTTAGGGAATGAAACGTGGTCTGAAATGGGAAAACATTTGATTACCGTTAAACAAAGAAATGATACTCTAAGGAACGACACGCGGTCTGAAATGGGAAAACATTTATAATCAAGCTAAAAGAGCCATTTTTCTTTTAATAATAATAATAATAATAATAATAATAAGAATAATAATAATAATAACAACATGATATATACAGAAAAATAAAACTTTCGATAATAATACTACTTATAATAATAGCTTTAATGTTTATAACGCGCATATTCCATATGCATATGCGCGCTTGTTTGTGTTTTTTGCACTTCCATCGGTCACTTACGCCTTGCATTTGGACAGGTCTTTACTCTTGTCGAATGGACTGTCACATTCACACTCTTCGCCATATCTTAAAAACAATTTTAAAAAAGAACATAAATTAATCATGAAAATGTTCTCCCAAATCAAGGCTTCCTCTCATTTGCAAGGATTTCTTTTTATTCTTTCTTTCTTTCTTTTTTTCTTCCTTCCTTCCTCCCTTTCCTCCTCCCTTTCTCCCTTCCTCCCTCCCTCCCTTATCCCTCCCTCCCTTTCTTCCTTCCTCCGTCCCTCCGTCCCTCCCTTCCTTCCTTCTTTTCTCCCTTCTATTCGTTCTATCTTACATTTCCTTCCTTACCTTCCTTCATAACAGGAGCATTGCCCACAGGCATATGTACCGTTGCCGTCACTACACCGTGRACTATTCTCCACCTAAAATACAACATATAAATTCAAGTCACACTTTACCTTAAATWTTACTTGTCTGGCTCTTTTTTGTTAAAAACGGTCATAAAAAAACTACTTCCAATTCCAACATACTAAGCAGTTGTATAGAGATTTGAGGCTTAAAATTTTCTTCGCAGAAGGACTTCGTGTGGAAATGTTTTCTTGTCTCAGGTAGACAATAAGATTAGCTTTGTTTGAATCATTTACAAGAGCATTTGTGTTACTGGAAAGTCGTCACGAGTTTTTGAAGCCGGAAGTACGTCACAACGGTCTAGATATAAGAAAAATATGGCTCACCCTATTTTGTGGTGATTCACACTGACAGCTGCATATGTATTCAAGGTCCACGTCTAGTCGACCAAAACCGGGGATTCGAATAGGGAAGCTGTCGAAGAAAAAAATTAAATTAAGATCATTGGTTGGGATAAAAAAGAGTAAGGGAGAGATAAAAAAGAGTTAAAAGAAAGAGAGACAGAAAAAGAAGGAAAAAAAGGAAGGAAGGAAGGAAAAAGAGAGAGGAAGGGAGGAAGGAAGGAAGGAAGGAAGGAAGGATGGATGGAAGGAAGGGAGGAATATAGCGCTTTAGCCGTTAGCCTCTGGCTCAGTTGAATGAGTATTAGCTGTCAAACGAACGCGTACAACGGAGCTCAACTGGGTGACTTTCATTGGACAATTTCCTCCTTGACCCCTTACTCATTATACTTTAGCTAATCCGACCGGTCGAAGAATAATCAGTTACCTTTTTTCTTTGGTCGCTTCTGGTGAACAGCTCTCGAGAGTAACAAAGACTTCAAAATCAACCTACAAGAAAACATACTAGTGAGAAAAAAGGAAACCATTTTTCGTCTAGTTTAACTACGAGTTACGTACCTTTTGTTTGATAGCAACACCTGTGCACTCCTCATTTTTAATKATTTTATTTCTGTAAGAAAAATCAAAGTAATGTGAGTCGAGAAAATGGAATAATTTACAAATGGTTTACCGCTTGCCTCTGTGGTCCAGGTTGGAGCCCCCGGGTGTTCCGGTTTTCCTTACCCCTCGGCGTACAAATCCTCCATACCACAGGGAACCCAAGACAGTAAAACAAAGGTATATAATTAAGTAGCGGACTCCTTACCCGCATGTTCCTTGGTAGTCAACACGGATGCCTTGAGGAGCCTTGAAGGACAGTTTTACAGTGGACGCTATTTTCTAAACAGAGAGAAAAAGGTTTTCTCGATAAAAGGCATAATACGTAGTCCACAAAATAGACCATTTTCGATCTCGTAAAATAGTACTGTTTGGTAACAGACTTATCTAATCACTTTTAACCTCATTTCAGCGTCAGAATTGACGACTCTTAAAACTCCAGTGTATGCGGGCTTAGCCTAACTTCTGAGGTCGGTAAACAAAAGCAGATATTAGAATAACAAAACAAGTAACTCCTGGATTCGAGAATAAGGTCACATACACTGGAGTTTGTTTAATACTCTTAAAGGAGTTTGAGTTTGAGTTTAGTTTCCGAGTTTAGTTTAGTTTTAATTTTTAGAGTCGTCAATATTCACAAATACCAACAGTGAAGTAAAGAATGCACAACTTGAACAATACTTGAAATCCCACAGACCTTCACTGAAACACATGAGTGTCTACGCAATAAATAAATAAACAAATAAATAAACAAACAAACAAATAAATAAATAAACAAACCTCGTAGCTTTTTTTGATGAGTTCCACCACGTTCCCAGAATCCTCTGCCAGTTTACCAGTCACAGCACCTAGATCACTCCACATGGAACTCAGACCCTGGAAGACGTAAGCAACAAATATAAACCACGTCAMTTTGAAAGACACTGCGCATGCTCATGCTCATGCTCCCTATGAAAATTATTTATTTATCCACTCGGAGCAGGACCTCGCGGTCAAATACGCACAGGAACTCCGTCAAGAATATTAAAACAAATTCAAGTTGATAATGTTAGTGTCATCATCAAATGTACCTTGTAGAGTTCGGTGACATTCCCAGTGACAGCAAATATCGGCTGAATCTGGTTCTGTAATAGTTTTTCGTGGAGCTGAGCTATCGATGGGTAGTCCTGGGTAGAAGGGTACAAGGGATTTAAATGATGATAACAAATTAAAGCATGGCAGGGAAATTCAATAGCATCTCAATTAACATCAGTGCAGTGACTACTGTAGAAATGAAACTAAAAAAGTCCAATTCTTATTTGAAATTTCTATTTTCAAATTTTATTGCTGTTGATTATTTTAACTAAATAAGTGAATACTGCTATTTTTGTTGTTGTTGTTGTTGTTGTTGCTACTGTTGCTGTTATTGCTGCTGCTGATATTGTTATTGCTGCTATTGATGCTGTCATTGTTTTTATGGCTGTAACTGCACATACTCACCAGTTCATTAGATTTGTAGTAAGTTCCACTGCTGTCTAGATGACATTGCCCATCATTAGGGATAACAATTCCGCCAAGCTAGGGGTCAAACACATTTTTCAAAATGACGATTAATTTTTTTAAATTTGTTTTCAAATGACAGAAGGAGTTAGGGAGGGAGGGAGGGAGGGAGGGAGGGAGTGTGTGATTGCGTGAGGGAGAGAGGAACAGGAACAAAGAAAGGAAGGATAGGAGGATGGAGGGAGGCAGACAGGCAGGCAGGAAAGGAGGGATGGATGCAGGCAGGCGGGCAGACAGGCAGGGAGGAACGGAGCAACAAAAGGGGGAGGTAGATGGTGTCTTTCTTGTGAGTCGTTTGGACCTATATTCAGTATTGCGTCTTTAATCTTTGTTCCTCTCTGCCTCCCTCCCTCCCTCATTCCTCATGTGTCTACCACCTATCATACTGTTTTTCGGCAAACGTTTTCCTAAACATACGAGCAACACGATGGAGTACTCACCTTCCCATCCCCCGCCAAATGGAACGGTGCATCAGTGACAAACACTACGAGTCTTCTTGATATGTCTTTCCATCCTATTTTCTGATGAACAAATACAAATAAGATTTAACAGATTTTTATTTAAATGCAAATGCACAATAATTCACATTAACTGAGGGGCGATGGGTTTGCACTCCCAAATGATTTTTTACTGAATTCAACCAATCAGATAATTCGATATGACAGTATAGACGTGACTTTATCCAATCAGAGAGCACGTTATATCTTACTTTTCCACAAACAGCAACTTGCATCAAAGCATCAAAACCTCCTTCAGGTTCGTCAAGATTACCAGAAATGATCTGGTTATTGATTTCATTCTGCAAATAAAATATTGTTATTAGATAATATTAGTTTCAAACTCATTACTAAGCATCAGAACAACACTTTGGGTTGATCTAAGTAAGGGCCCGGCTAACTCACAGATCGATCCCCGAAATTACATCTGAGCCGATCTAAGTCAGGGCATGGCTAACTCACAAATCGAACCCTGAAATAACCTCTGGCCTGATCAAAGTCAGAGCACGGCTAACCCACAGATAGAATTGGAATTTGGTGTGTTTGGTTTTGCGGAGTAAGGCGAGATAGCCTGTGAACAAGGCTCTCGGGGAGGGGGGAAGGGAGAGAAGGGAAGAGGCTCTCCGGGGAGGGGGCCTGGTTCACAGGCTAAAGGCGAGAAAACCAGAGAACCTGGAGAAAAACACTCGAATCAAGGGAGAGACCCAAAAACTCTACTTACGTGTGATGCCGAGTCCAGGAATCGAACCCGAGACCCCAGAAGTGAGAGGCGAGTGCACTATCGTTACGTATTTGTCATACCCATATAGCAAGAAACAAGCTTCAGTTGTACAATACCTGGAATTTTGTACTGTCATTGACAAGTTGAAGGGTGTGGCGAAATCCGTAAGTTTTTTCACACTGTCCATTGCCACCGCAAGGCTTGTCCAACCTTAAAAAGTAGAAGTTTGCATTGTATAGAAAAAGTTTTTGTATCACGTAGGAAAGGTATGTATTGCGATGCCACTGGGCTAAAACATCCTGTTACACTAAGTAACGTTACTTGCCACTTGTCTCGCAATTTTGATGCTATATAAAAAATAGCTGCGGTCACGGCGCGGTATGGTCACGTCACGTGGAAATTGTGTTTCGTTTCTACATCTACTTACTCTGTTCTCACGTAGGGAGAGACTGTCTTATCCACAAATTTTCCAAAACCGAGCTGATAGTTCTTTGTGATGTTAGCCATACTCGCAGCTAAAAACAACACGATAAAACAAATTAATATTTCCAGATGTCCATTTTATGTAACTATTTTTGCCACCGAGTTAACAAAGCCTGGGCCCATTTTGGCCTCCGCTCACAGGAAAATACGTTCCCACATGCTCGTATTYTGTAGATGTTACCTAGGTGTGGTTTTGCGCAATTAGCGTTAAAAATACTTTGACAAAAAGAGTAAAAATGGAAAAAAATAAAGAACAAGAATTATTATGGGAATAGAAATGAGAATGAAAATGACAATGATGAAAAATGGAAATGAGAATAAGAAATGGGAACTGGCGAGAATAAGGATAACATAATAATGAGAGGGGAATATGAATGGAAATGAAAATAGGAATGGGAATAGCAATAGGAATGAATCTTACCTATCTTCCCAGCCAGTTTCTTTAGGTTTCCCAGATCGTTCTCCATGGACCAGGACATGTCCATAAGATAGTACAAATCAACTGGGTAGTTCTCAGCCGATCGAACAGTCATTGGTATCTTAGCAGGTTTGCCTATTGAAGTTGAAGTTAGTCAATGGTTGAAACAAAAGTTTACTTTACAGCGCCTTCTAATCGCACGCGCAAAATGAATGCAATTTGCCATGCTGAAGAAGTAGGTTTTGGCGGACGTCATTCAAGGCGTTTCCATGACATTCCATTGAAAAAGTCGTGTTTCCGGCAAATCATACGATTTCGCACGTGTGATTGGCAAATGCTGTAACGGATCTTAACAGATTTTTTAAGACTTACAGTGCTTTCCAATTGACCGTTTTCTCAAGGTTGCGTGCGCATCCAAATTTAAGGAACTTGACGGGCCATGATACCAGAACACGAGTATTATCATGCATGGCTGTGAATTTTTTAACGATAAGAACTCATACAATCGATTATTCTCCTCTTTAAATATAAAACTGTCTTCTTAATTTTACTGAATTTGCGTTTTTCAGTTTTGTGGCCCGTCAAGTTGGATGCGCACGCAACCTTGAGAAAACGGTCTATAGCACGCGCGGAATCATAGAATTTGCCGTCGCGACAAAATAGCAGTTTGGTGAACGTCAATCAAAGTGTTGCAGTCCATTACATTGTCGGAACACACAAAGTTTTCAAGGTCATGTGCCTATGTAGTCTGATTCCATAAGTCGTAGTTTTCGCTCCTTTGTGGTTTGTACAAAAGAGCGAAAACACCGACTTATGGAATCAGTCTAGTGYCTATGAAATGTCACGGAAACGCCTTGATTGACGTCCCAATATTTTTTCACACGACGGAGTGTTCTATTGAGAAGCACTGTAAACTATCCCGCACTTCTTTCTATTCCTTTCTGTCAAACTGACGTCCACTGTAGTAGTAGTACGTTAGCAATATCCGGATAAAAAATATTAATTATTCTGTAAACATCCTTTTTTCTCTGGGTTTTTTAGTTTTTATTCCTCCATAAACGTCAACTAAGTTTTTAAATATTAATAATCATCATCCCCATCTGCGTTGAACTTTTAATTACTTCGGAAATCCCTGACCGAGATAATTAAGTAAAAAAATTTCGAGGTATATAAATAATAAATGATAAAAAAAATTGATCATTTTAGGCGAATTATAGATTCTTTATTTACGTTTCTTTTAGCTATGTTTTTCACTTTTTTGAACTGGGAATATGCCGCCTTTTTCTTTTTCCATAAACGTGGCAAGTATTACCACAGAAAGATGTTTAACAGCTTGTGGTGAAGTAATGGATACTCGCAATTATTTTCCAGAAATGTCTCTAGAATTCTTACTCATTTTTACTTTATATGGTAACATATAGTCTTCTACGCTGCCGCTATTAGTTTTGTCACGCAACGGTTACTCCCCTATAAGCGTTGCGTGAAAACACTAATAGTGGCTGTGTAGGAGACTAACTAACATAGTGCTCGTCTGAAAACTATTTTATGGTTTCTTCTAAAACTCATGAATATTTAATGAAGAGAAAACAAAGCAAATCACTACTGTGACGGTGGTTTGGAAATGTGTTCTTAATTTGCATTACATTTCATAAACTTTTYCTTTGATTTTCTCCAAGAAATATTCRTGAGTTTGAGAAGTAATTTGAAACATTTGAGAGATTGCGCCGAGTTTTTTTAACTGACTTTGAGGTGTTTGGAAATCAAAGGAAAAACTCTCTCACATGTCTCTCTCACAACTCTCTCACCCCCACCCCCAAGGGCTGCTAAAGCTTCCAAACTCAATAAACTTATAGACCATATCAACACAAAAATTGTGCATTCCTACACAAGAAAGAAACAAAATATGCATTTTCAAAAGCTTGCTGGTCTAGAGTAGTTTTAAATCAGCCATATATATGTTGTAGGTATGAACAATGCAATGCTTTTGCATAACGAGAGATTTCATTTCCAAAAGACCAAATTTGTTTGACCAAATCAGAATATGTTTTAGTACATATTAACACATATTATATCTGAAAACCAGGCCATTTTAGATTAAACTGTTTCACTAGAAGCAAATTTTGTTGAATTTTCTATTGGATTTGGCAATTCTATCCCCCACATAAGCAAGCAGTGACGTCATAGTAAAATAGGGTAATTAAAGAGAAGGTCTAGTTTTTTTTCATAGCAGTCAGGCACACTTACCTGGTCTTAATTTGACTTTTACTCTCTGTGGAGTGACCTGGATAGTAGGCCCAACAGCAGCATCCTGAAATGAAACATTTCACAATGAACATGTAACCCTCAGGTAGGCATTCATATAACACACGATAGCAAGCAAAGGGGTGATTGACAGATGCGTAAGGAAGACTGCTTCAGTTGGGGTTGGTGAGGGAGGGAGGAAGGAAAGGAGGGGAGGAAGGAAAGGAGAGAGGGAGGGAGATAGGGAGGGAGAGGGAGGGGTGCAAGAATAACTTCAGTACAACATCTTTTTCTTTTGTTCACCATGCCGTATGTGGTGTTGTTTGTACTCACGCTAGACCACAATGCATCCTGTTTATCAATCACAGAAAAGGTTCAAGGGTAAAACATATAATATTCAAAAACTTCTTTGTTATAGCAAAGTTACACTACTTTTCTGTTGTGCATGGTGCTAAATTATAATTAACATTTACAAGATCTGGTTTTAAAAACAGAGCCGCAATGTCTGACTTTATTGGTCTGGCTCGCAGGACTATAACATACTTCAACATTTGTAAACCCACTGTCTGGATTTGATATATTGGTTTTTGGACAGCCCAGATCCACCAGGTTTGCTGGGGTGTCACATCTAGATGCTGCCTTTTGATCAAAGTTCTGCAATAAGAAAGAATTATATAATTAGTTGAATGTGGGACAAAGTATTTAGCCCTGTTGTCTGCTATATTATTGGTAATCATTGTTTGTTTTTTAATCAATATATATTTCCTTATTACTGAAATGCAATTCTAAAGATGAAATTGGAATTTAAAAATTGGCTTTTGTGGAGTGAGAAAACTACACAACAAGTTGGAAAAACCTTGAAGCATATTTAATGTTACTCACATGCATAATAGCAGTGAAGCAYGAGTCAACTCAGATACAGCGAGATCATGATGGGCAAAACACAACCGAGAGACAGCTTCCAATAAAAAATACAATATCGAAAGGCTAACTACTGCAGTACACTACCTCTTCAGAACACCAAGCACATTGTGGTTTACTTATACACTGTTGACATAATGCTTGAGTTTGACATTCTGAACCTTAAAAATACAACAATAACATAACCTTAAAGTTACAATGTAATGCTACAGTCCATTGTTTTCTTCTAACTTACATACTTTTGGAAATGAAATAGAACCTTTTACTGTATATCTTGGGTGTAATGTTTCTCCATTTCATACGAAATTCAATTCTTTTATTGAATGAGATTATTTTTTACAGTTGTGTAATTCATATTCATGTGTCTTCTCATGCACAACCATTAAACAAAGAAATGTACTCTATGGAATGAAATGTGGTCTGAAATGGGAAAACATTAAGACCAAGCTCAAAGGGTCTATTTTGGACCATTTTGAAACATTATCACCATTAGAGAAATTTGAATTGTATCAAACATTGGAACAATATGTGAAGTGGCAACACTGTCTTGCAACAAATACTGTATAACTGTCAGAGAAAATCCAAATATTTGATGTTTTCTCTGAAACATTTTGAAAATTCAATGAGTGTGTCGCTATCAGCGCTGCTGCAAGTTTTGGTTGAAACAAAATACAAAATTTCATTTGAATTGCAAAAAAAAATCAGATGGATTGAATGGGTCTATTGATTGTTTAAACACACAATATTCGAATGAAATAGAATAAGTCACTGTGAACATCAATTGTCTGCAACTTACTTTGAGATGAAAGTGGTATCCATGCCAATATTATCAAGAATGCCACGGCAATAAAAAGTACTGTATTCATAATTCTACCATAAACAATTTCTAAAAGATAAAACAATATGTTTATTAAATCTGATGCATATAAAAATAGAAAGGCTATTCTTTTATATATTGATTTTGCCATCCAATTGCAAAGAAGTTTCCTATGTATAAACCCTATACAGTAATATATACCCTATTTATGAAAGGTTAGGGTGACACTGTATCTAAGGCCCTATTTATATGGATATGAAATATCCCTCYCTCAAGACTAGTTTATTTACAGAGCATTTACATGGAGTTCTCCATACTTCTCCAATATAAACCTTGGTTCTTAAGGACACATGTGCAAGCATATTTCAGTAAAAATCAACATGTGAGTTGAGCGTTGTGTGCATAGAATATTAAATGTAGTGGTAGTGTGTGTGCGTGAAAAGAGTCCCCAATTAGTGTGAAAGTGCTAGAATGACTAGACACTTAAATAAAAGTGATTTAAAAAAAGTTGTTTATATTTCATGGTTGAGCTGTCTTGCCCCAAGTACTTGAGTTAGTGTTCATATGAGAAAAAGGTTTCTCACCTCCCAGGGTTACCTCACCAGCCGATACATGTTCTCACCTCCGAGTTAAATTCCTTATGTAAATGGTCCATGGAATTTTCCAAAGAAATGTATAAACAATTAGCTCACCCAGAGTTACTATGGGGGAGAGCTGTTTCAGGTTCCTGAGACAACATCTCCCAATATAAAGAGGGCCTAACTCCTGAGACAACATCTCCCAATATAAAGAGGGCCTAACTAGCTGGTTGCTGGGAATAAGTGTTAACATGATGACACATTATTCATATATAAAAAGTAAGTATAAGCTCCTATATAAAAGAAATRCAAACGAAAGCACGCCAACAATATGCATATTAAAGGCATATGAAAAGAATATTGAGGAAGTGGTTAAGCAAAGAAGTCTAAAAAGATGTTTGAGTATAAAGGGATGTGGTTATAGATGACATCACAGGTACGATAGTGATTTGTCTGGCTAAAAAAAATAATTGTTCAGATATTATTCAAAAAAAAAAAAAAAAAAAAAAAAATTTGTCAAACAACAAAACCTATATCAACACTTATTTCTTTTAGATGGATATAGGTTCACAAGGCTAAAGGGTCTTGAATTGGCAAATTACAAACTAGTGCCAACATTATATTTACATGTACTATAAATAACATGTATATATATGTGTGTATATTTAGGTTTTTAACCAGCTTCACAATCATTAATATTTACTTTAAGCTGAAATAATTATGAATTATGAAAATAATAGAAAAACAATTCTTCTTAACACATGATAAGTATTTTCTTGAGTTTGAAAATGACTGTTTAGGAGTTAAGATTAAATACTACAACAATTCGTGTTTTTGTTAGTGCTGTTTGCTAAAAAGATTGTTTGATAAGGCGTGAAAACATTTATACTTCAAGTCAAATATTGAGCTTCAGAAGACGTTGAAATCTCAAAATAAACTAGATTACATACTGATATACGGAAATTTGAGTTCTAATATCGTCTCTCAGAAAATTTAGTGTTCTGAAAARCTTGAAATAACGCTTAAAATCCGATAAATGATCAAACAAAGTGAAGCCATATTGTTTGTGGAGTTAACTGCTCTTTTATCTCAAGGAAGACGACATTCAACACAAAACGAAACTTATTAGCTCATAATAAAGTCCACAAGAAACTTTTAGTAATTTTTAGAAACAATATACAAGAACAATGTTGTATTTTGAAGGGTTTTTAGAAATTGAGAACGCCCATTCAAAAAATAATACCGAAGGATATAAAGATAAATATTGAGTGTTTGAGTGCATTAAAGGTCCATTAGCGATGTAAATTTAAGAAAATAAAGGTCGGGATGAGTTAGTTTGGTTGATAAAGAATGCAAAATGAAAGGTTAATGGCGTTAAATCTTACCTTGAAGGTTTCAGGTGTTGCTAGAAAATCCTCTCGTCTGACTGATTGAAGGTTTGACGTTCGAAAGTTAATATTCATCAACGCTACGCGCCGACATCCGAAGGAAGTCAAACCCGCATTCCATCACACCAAATATGGTCGAAACAACCATATTTAGAAAGAGTGTGGTTGATTTAGACGTCATTTCCGGTGGTAAAGCCAGTCCCCACTGATTCTAGATTCTTAGCCCACTGTTCACATCTGGCTGAGATGTCATGTCCGACCAAACCTTTGAAAAGATTTTGTATGAGAGAGGAGAATAGGGCATTTATTGTGTTTGTGGTGGCGTTATTTATGTGCTTTGATAGGGGTATGAACTCGACCCAAATTGCCCTAATTCACTATGACGTCACTGCTTGTTTATGTGGGGGATAGAATCACCAAAACAAAATTTGCTCCCAGCGAAACAATTTAATCTAAAATGGCCTGGTTTTCACATATGATATGAGTTAATATGTACTCAAAAATATTCTGAGCGTTTACTGGCTATTCTACTTCTCTTCGTGGATTGATACGGGTTTTAGAACAATTTTCGGTGATTGCGTGGATTTGACTCCCTCCGACGACCATGATCCTTTGCGTTTAAACAATTGTTTTGATGTGACGTCATAGTGAATTAGGGCAATTCTTTCTTTTTTCTTTCTCTWTCATTCTTTCTTTCTTYCTTCCTTCCTTCCTTCCTTTCTTTCCTTCTCAGTTTCTCTCTCTTTATGGAGAGGAAAAGAAAGAAAAACCATTTTAGTTTGTCGACATGTATTGAGGTCCGAGTGGTGAATGTGGATAATATACGAATAAATGAATAAAGCGCCCAAATAGGACTATTACTAAATCTTGCATTGTAGGAATATGTTTGCGAGTCAAATTTAAATTGAAAGAATTTCTGGATGCGTTGATTCTTGATATACATCGCGTATAGAGTCAAATCACGGGGAAATCGTAGAGAGTTTTTAGTAAAAGTGTTTAGTAAAATGGGAATAAATAATTCAGCTCTCTCCTCCGCAGTTCTGTCATATCTCAGCTAGGAGCCGGGTGCAATCCTTATGTATTAGCAGACGTACTGAACTGATTAATCTCCCCTCGCTAGCTACGAGGGTTTTTTCCTCCCTCCCTCTAGAATGCATACCATATATCAGTGAAAAAGTTAACTAACAAAATTGTACAAATTTTGTGCAAGTTTCGTAGGCCTACAGTCTACCGAGGTCAACTGAACGTATACTAATTTTGCAAATTTGCGCAATTCCTTACAAAGTTCTTTCAMGGATATATCGGTATGCACTCTATGACAAACAATTTTCTTTGTTGCGCAGAGTCGTGCGACTTTGAGAGGCGATTGCAAAGACGATAGCGATTTTATTGTAATCTCGATCGCGAGTGTAAACAGCCGGCGATTTTATTACAAAATTGGCATTTTGCATAACCTAGTTTCCAGAGGGATTTTTTCGCGGATTTATTAACTGAGAGCGGAGTCAGTAAATCCGCGAAAAAAATCCCTCTGGGACCCAGGGTACATTTTGCAGCGAAGAGGCAGTACCTCTTCTCAATAGTCATCGGAAAAAATGTTTTCTCTCTCTTCCTGTTTATAACTTTTTTACTTCTGTCACAGGTGGTCAACTCCGATCGCAAGATTTTTCGATTCACGCGATAAAATTGCTAGTTTAAACAAGCCTTTAGCTTGGGAAAACTTCCAACGCGTGAACATTGCAAGCTTAAGACAAACTGAAATATTTTGCTTTCTATTCTCACATTATTTTCATCATCATCATCTTTATTAAGACGGTAAAGGCCGAAAGTGTTACTTGAAGAGTGAAGTGGAAATTGAGTTTGATTTTTCTTCTTCTTTATATTATAAATTGATACTGGTTTTGTACTGTCATATAGATGAGATAATTTTATCATAATTCTTCTTTGCTGTTGCCATCTTCTTGGGCTTCGTCACCAGTGGGGCACAAGTCTGCAATTTGAAAGTCAAAGATGTGATATTTTAATATTTTWAACATGATAATCACTATCCCCATAGTTCAACCTTCAACTTTATCAAACTCACTTAGTTTTGATGTGACTGGAAGGAATTGGATGGGACTAGAAAAGGATTGGATAGGATTGGATGTGACTGGGATGGATTAGATGTGATTGGAATGGAATGGATGGGACTTGAATGGGACTGGGATGGATTGAATGGGATTGAAATGCATTGGATGGGGATGAATTTGATTGGATGGGACCAAAATCGATGGGACTGGGATGGATTAGATTGGATGTGACTGGAATGGAGTTGATAGGTCTGTAACATTGGAACATATACATATATTGGGACATATGCTGAAGGGAATGGAATGTCATCTAAAATATGAAAACACATCCAACAATCAGAGACTAGGGTCTTTAGAAACTTACGTAATATTTGACTGCAGAGAGCAGCTTTTTGGTTATCATGTTCATGCTTCAATACTTCAATAACTTCTTCATCATGCTCTCCCAGGATATCTTCACACTAAATAACCAAAGAAAACAAAGGTCTTAATACAGGGCTTTCAGAATAAGCATGAGGCCACTGGAGATACATTTCTTTTCTTAAAAAAAAAATCAATAATCTATCAGATCACAGCTGCAATGCCTGATGTGAAAAACAGTTGAATACCACAGAATATACAAAAGCTTTCCTATCAGATCACAGCTGCAATGCCTGATGTGAAAAACAGTTGAATACCACAGAATATACAAAAGCTTTCCAGCATCTGATTGGCTGTATTTTCAATGATGTGGAAATTATGAAAATATATACAATACGTCAAACCACAAAAAACTTACGGTGTGCTTTAATTTCTCAGCAATCTCTCCACTCATGGAAATATTTGACAGGTTGACRGGTGATCCATCATGTGACGAGGTCCTGACATAGGTCTTCTTGCCTGTATCAGGCTCTGTTGATTCAGCATATTGCTTCATGTTGTCACATATATTTTCGAGCAGTTCAGTCAGATGGGTTTCAGATCTTGCATATGGAATCTTATAAAAAAAACACAATTTAAACACAGTTTCAAAAACTATTTGATCCTTTTTGCAAAATCTTCAACAATTTATTAATTATTTATAAATCTATATATTTATTATCATATAATGTCAAACAATCTCCAACATGTTTTTAAATGGTACTCTTAAGCTTTAATTTATATTGATCCTTCTTACCCCCTCCTGATCAAATAATTTACTACTTAAATTTATTCCTGTGTGTGGTTGTCATGAACTCAAAAGTTTTTTTTTTCTATTTCAACAACCACACACACCTAGTCCAATATCATTATTCATTGATATAATTGACTTATTACTTCTTCATTTATACCAGTATATTACCCTACCCTATTTTATGAATCTTGTAAATATGTGTGAATAAGAAAAAGACTAAAGTCATATGACACAGAGCCCACACAGAGCCCACACAGGAGAGATGTGTACATTCATGAAAATGAATAATTCATGTTGTACTTGTGGTGGTGATTAGTGAATCAAAGGATGGCATAGTATTACCACACTTGCCTCTTGTCTCTCTGAGGTCTACAGTTTGATCCTTGGGTTTGATGAGCCCATGGTTACATGTACTTTAGAATATTAAGTATGCACTCCCATTTCCATTTTTATTCTTTAAATTTGAAAAAAAAACAAAAACAAAAAAACAAAAAAAAAACAACACAAAAACATGTAACTGTACCTTTCGGGAGTAACTCTGTTTACCAGTTGGATCTACTCTGAAGCTTTCAACCTTATTGACAAAAAGTTATACATTTATTTTATACATAGTTAAATGCATTTATTTTTACTTTCAAATTAAGATTTGCATCACATGTCTACCTTCTCCTCCTTCATCAAGTGTAAAAGTAATATTCCCCAGGGGTAGGGGGTTGTATTGGGTATAGTCTTTGTTTATCTAACTCATTGCAAATTTAAAAAAACACACATTCCTCCTCTACCCTCCCCTCCCCCAAGTGGATTTGAAATTCCCCAGGGGTAGAGGATTGGTACATTCTTTGTTTATCCAAATTATTGCAAGTTAAGAAGCACATTCCTCCTCTACCCTCCCCTCCTCCTCCCCTCCTCAAGTGGAGTTGAAATTCCCCAGGGGTAGAGGGCTTACGATTTTCTTTGTTTATCCAACTCATGATAGGCGAGTGTTGCTTCAATCCTATTATCCATTTGTAATTTCATTTGTTTAGTACACATCAGTTGTAACACATACCTCAATGACCTTCTTGGGGTCAACTTTTGATATCTCCCATTCTATTTCATCTACTGCAATTTGACAAACTGTGGAAGAAAGTATATATGTATATATCTATACATATGTTTAAGGAATGTAAAAGGTGTTGGCCCCCTCCCTCCTCAGAGGGGTAGGGGTAGGGGGGGAGGTCATTTAAAGAACAAAATTACAGAGTTTGTATGGAAGTAAATTGGAATTGAAATGAGATTCCTCCACTCCTCTGTGGGGGGGGGGGGGGGGTGATTTTTGTCTCTATCAGAGCCTAGCAATGAAAACCATGGTAAAGCAGTTTTCACTGAGAATTCCGTCCAGTCCTTTTCATGAGGGATATATGGACATATTTTCTGGAACTACACATCACATTTCTTACCAGAACATTGAAAAGACTTGTCTCTCTGACAATGAACCTGAAAAATTAATCCTAATATAACTAGCACTGGAGTGAAGACCACTTGCAGCTCCATGTTCCTGATATTTGTTCCTGAAATTGAAGACAAAAAAGTTAACATAAAAAATCTGAATATGTAAAAGAAATGAAACTTATGGAAGAGCACTAACTTTATGTATATATATATATATATTTTTTTTTTTCCTGTTATTTTCTATTTTATAAGTACCATCTATTATTAGGCCAAATAAAAAAATAAGTGTGTTTCCTTTTGCAAGACAAAATTAATTGGGGTCGGTAGGTCAGATTTTTTTATTATTATTAATTTATTGATACAACAGTGGGAATGAGCTTACAGGGAACCCCTGTAAATGAAAAAAATATTAGTGTTGGCAAAAATTGGCAAGAAAATTAGGGTAGGTCACGCAACAGGAAGCACACTTATTTTTATGTTTGGCCTTATGTGACCTGTACAACCCTGTTCGAGTGCTCTTATGGAGCCTTTGGAGAAGTCATGTGTCTTGTTGCTGCACTTGGTCCATATAGCACGATGTTGAGCCAAAATTTACCCATCCTGCCGTACCACTCAGTGAATAAGTGCATAGTACTAAATAGTGCTAATGTACTGTTTCATGGAGGAAAGGATATACTTTGAAGCTTCAATTTAGTAAAAATTTAATCCTTAACTCACTGTAAATCGTATACCACATAAAGTATTTAAAATCTTGTATATATAAGTTCAAATTTTATATATTGTTTGAACAAATTCACAAATGGGATCAGTACACATCAGTCCATGTTTGATTAGCTTGATCGACACTAGATCAACAATTGATCAGCGATTTCAAGAAAAACTAATAGATTCGTCAATAAATAATACAGCCTGGATAACGGTTTGAGAAAATAACAATTATTTGCCATCAACGTTTAGATTCAACCTTGCATTTTTTAATATTTTATAAGGTTAATTAAAGTTCCTCTGCATTCAAATTAAAAATTTCTTCAAATTTTAGAAATTTTCGACATTAAATTTATATATATAGGTGCGTTTTTCATTATGTTTTACATACCTTTTGGATGAAGAACAAAAAAACTTCGATTTTATGGTTAGATTGAGTAAGAAAGAAAGAGAAAAATTACGAGATTACGAAACTAAACTAACTACACTAAAAAGAAAAGATACGTGTTGTGAGCCCGCGAGTAACACCGCTGAGTAGTTCGAAAGAAAGGGAACTGGGTACCAGGAAGTTGAGCAAAGTCAGGACAGAGGGATAGAATAAAGGGAGGCGATCTGCTTTGTCGTCAGCGCCTGGCGTGAAACCCGATGACCAAAGACCCGAAAGACTCTGGGCTCGAGAAAGAGAGGGAGCAAAACCGGAGAACCCGGGGAAAAAACTCTCCCAATCTAGCCATAGGTGAGATCGCAAACTCTAGGCATATAATGATAGAGTTGATTAACCAGTTTTTTGGACAGCCGAACATTAAAATAACATTGACAATACTTATTAACAGTTTCTTTGGACGTTCTAATACCTAGCTCAGTGTTTGAATTACTTTTTGTATGGAATCGCTGGATTGCCCACTTATAACTATATCAGTAGTACTTTAAATAACAATGATTTCAAATCAGCGAAAGTTTAAAAGATAAAAGTTAAAAAAAAAACAAATACTCGCGTAGATTTTGTCTGTCTTGCATGGAGCAGTTAAAAAACTATGGAAAATCTTTGTCTGTATCTGAGAAGAGCAAAATCAAAACGGACAATAGTATAAGATAGCGCTGAAAGCAAGGTAAGTGAACGATGGTGAATGACCGAAGGCAATCCAATTCTCATACACAAATAACTGTAAAGAGAACAGTGAAAAATAAAGGACGTGATTCTTTTGGCAAAATGATGCATGAAACATATTTTTGAACGTTTCTAAACAACATCGAAGATCAATGCAATCTTAGTCTGGTAATGTACAAAAGAAGGAAGCGTAGCGTTGGAACACAGGCCGCCGGAGCGCCAGCTGGATAATGTTGAAAAGCCAAAGTACTATGTGTGTAAAACCGTCGACAAGACGGAAGAAATGAAAAATCCGAGAGCAAGCTAACTTACGATGAACTCCTTGACAAACAATAATGGGTTCCAAGAATACACTGTAAGCACTGTAAGTATTCATGAGACTTCTAATGTAGGTATACACTGTAGACCCTTGCACGACAGATAAGGGTTTTAATAATAGAAAAGCATGCAATGTTTCGAAATGGTCGCGGCGTATTTTTCATGTGCTATTTCTGTGGTCCTGGGCGTTGCTGTCCTCGAGAATGTGAACAGCACCTGGGACCGTGACCCCCCATTTGGCGACCAAATACGACGACAAGAACGGCCTGCATTTTTAGACTCGGGCTTTCCGTTCACGGAAGCCCGAGTAACTATTTTTGGGGGTATCTAAAGTTGGCTGACTTTGCCTTCATTTATAGTCTTCGGTTATTGTGAGCAGCTTGATTGTCTCTGATTGGCTAAAGAGCATGTTAAAAACATTGACGTAAACTCTCGCGAGTGTTTACGAGTAAAATTGATATCATCACTTAAATGATTTTTAATGCATGTATATTACTCTAGAATAAAACAAGATATGGTTTTTTAAGACCATAAAATACATTCCACAAAACGGGCTATAAATAAATTAATAATATACATTGGTGTGGGCAGTCTTTTATCCAGTTTATAGAATCCTATTTATTCTTCGCATCAGGAGAAGATTCACCCTTATTTTTATTACCGCGCATGCTCCGTGGTTGCCTAGCAACGCTATAATAATATTTTTGCGTAATTTTGAAAAAAAATGCAATCGTCAAACGATCTTATTCTGTGACCTGCGTTCGGATGTTCAAATGTAAACGTGAATTTTCCTAATTTTCTACATGGTATGAAGCATTGCAGGCTAAAAACAGGTTTATAAACAGGTTTTATTGGTCCACAGCTATACACATGTAGAGAGCATGCGCAGTCGATAAAAACATCTAGAGTTATTTCTTCCCTCGATATATAAAGAACAATTCGGACATCAAGGCTATCAAGGTTACACTCTATAATAGCACTTAAATATATAAATTAAAGAGTTGACTGAATTTAAAGAAGTTTAAAGTTTCACAATGGATCCTAGTAATAGAGCAGGTGCATGTAACGTCATAACCGCCATCTTGGTTGACGATAACAAAGCATTCCTCATTAGCTTCTCTTGTTGCGTCAACCAAGATGGCGGCTGTTTCCTTGTTGTTCACATCTCAAGGGATTGTGAGTAACATGGGTGCACATACTCTGTAGGCTCCTAAAAGAACAAGGGATCAAAAATTCATTATTACAGTTCTGTCCTCAAAGTTGGTCGATCGCCTTCTGCTGTTGGCTTGTTTTCTTGGTATAGGTCGTCGGTCATCCAGTTAGGAAGATTGTCTTCTAAATTTTGAACGGAAGATTTTCGCGAAGTCGCGACGGAAGATCCTTCGGAAAAGATGTTTTCGTCGATTTGCCATAGTCTTTGGTCGGGAGGAAGCTTTAGAGGGGAGTTCTGTAACACGAAAGGCAAAACATTTCTTTAGCATGGGCGTAATGTTTTCCCATTTCAGACCACATGTCATTCCCTAGAGTATCATTTCGTTGTTTAATGGCTGTACATGAGAAGACACATGAATATGGATAAAACTCGAAAACAAAAAAAATTATTTCCAAGAGAATGACACGTGAAATGATAAAAACATTACGCCCAAAGTAATATGAACAATACTCAAGGGAATGACACGTGATTTGAAATGGGAAAGAGACCTATTATTTTGAGACGTCAAGAACATGAATCGAAAATACAAATCCAGAATAAAAAAGAGAGGAAGAAATTATGAACGGATGTATGGGTGAATGAATAATTTGAAAAGAGAGAAGCGTGCGTAAAACAGAATGGATTGATTTAAAGTCCTCCTCCTTACCTTCTCGCCAACCACATAACATCTGTTGACAACCCTCGCCACCAACTTGATGATGTGTTTCGTTAGATTCATCACTGCCCATATCTGAAAATATAACAACAGACGGCACGGTAACGGTACAGACAGAATCGATGATATTGGTTTGAACAATCGCGCAAATGTTGTAGCTCATGGTCAGACTTGTAACGCAATACACCGTCACGGTCATGGCATATCTTTACAGTTAGTTTGCAGTCACGTAAAATATGCTCATTAGGCAGATTAAGATTCCCGTTTTTCATTCCCGCGAACGGCAAACGTGACCACGTTTTCATCGTTTCCCTACATTTCACTTTACCTTTTGCAAACCTTCTCGACAAAGACAAGTATTCTATTGTTTATCTACTACTTGGAGATTTTTGCGATTCCTTTTCACTAATTTTTTAATGGTCAACTGACGTTTCACGTTTGCCGTAAACGAGAATCTTAAACTCTTTAATATTGTGTGAGTTTTGTTAACACGTTCAATATCGTTAGTTTTGCGCACCCAAATTAGACATTCCGAGATTGAGTGGAAAACTGGGTCGAGTTGGCAATACAGTGCATTGTGGGGCTGTTTTAAGGGACATATTTCCAAGATAGCGTCCACTAAAACAGTCCCACAATGCACTGCAATGCCAGTTTTTTTCCTCAAACTCGGAATGGCTAATTGTTGGCAGTTGTTGGTCGTGGCTAGCAGATGTCTGGTGCGCGTACACAAATGTAGTGATGTTGGTATTACTGTTCAAAGAGACGCAGCATTGTGAGCTACGCTTCAAAGGAGGAAAAGACTACTACTATCTAAGTACCTTTTTATAACATGCTGACTGTCCTACAGTAAGTGAAGTAGCAGTGAATATCAATTGCTGGCAGTAGGTTAGTAATCTGTCGGCGTGACGCAAGAGCTCCTTTTTTGGTATGCTATCATCTACCTGGAAAGAAATTGGGTATTGTTAAGCCCCGTTTACACTGGCGATTTTTGCTGCGCTTTTTGTGGCAATTTTCGGAAATCTGAAATTTTTTGTCTCATCCTTCAAAAGAGACATTCGTCTAGAAAAATCTTGGTATCCTGAAAAAAACTTTACAAGTAAATTCTTTACCATTATTTATAATGGACAAAATCGCAAAAAATCGCTAGTGTAAACGGGGCTTTAGTACGCCATCGACGTCATCGATGCCATTTTCAATTTTTCGTTTGAGGAAGTTGAATTTCCCCATTTCACGGCATGTCGTACCGCATGTCGTAGCCTCGCATTCAAGCGCTTCAGAATGAGGTTATGAAGGTTAATTTAGCAAAGGTTTTTAATTTGAATGGGAATAAACATGGCACCGTGCGAATTATAAATGAAGATAGATGTAGACGTTACTATGGTTTTACCTTTATTGCATGTTGCCTAGCAACCTTATGTAGTACTTTTCCAGCTTCTGCAAAATCCTGGAAAGATGACGTAAAACAAGATAAATATTAAAATAAGGATATTTATAATATTTATAATACAAGATATATTTTTTGATACCGAATTTTCTAGCTATGGGTCGATTAATTAGTTGTTTCTGTTTACATAATGTTCACCTGTGCAGCGTTAAAGAAGTCTTCAGCCTCGAGTAGACGTCCCTCGCCCCTGGAAAAACAATTAAAAGATAGAGGTAACTGACCCAGCCACGAGCGCTGTTCCTTTTCTTTCCGTCTCTTCTCTTGTCTTGTCTCCTCTGCCCTACTCTCCTGCCCCGCTCTCCTGCCCTGTCTTCTCGTGTGTGTCGTCTTGTGTTTTGTCATGTTGTGTCGTATCGTCTCATATTTTCTTGTGTTATCTAGTGTCTTCCAGCCTCCTCTTCTCTCC